GATCTGACCAAGGATGAACCATTGGAAGACAATGAGCATGAAAGACATGCACAGAAAGCTATAGAAATACGTTAGCACAATGTCGTGCAATGCCATCTGTAGAAGGGGAGGGGGGTTCTTACCCGAGGCAAACACCATGGCCGAGGAAATATCTTGGCTTGTCTTGGTTACGGTAGCTATTAGGGATTAGAATATATTCTTCGGTTAATGAAATGGGGGGAAGGGACGGCTTGGACTTACATGAAAGATGAAATGACACCACCACAGTTTCCAAAGGCGATTTGGATCGCGATTCCAGCTCCTCGCTTTGTCGAACCACCAATGTTGTTTCCGTTCCACATCACCATGATTGGGATCATTGGATAACTGAATGCGTTAGAATTGAAAAAAAAAAAAAGTTCAGGTGTCGGAAATGACTTACACTCCACATGCAGCCAAAAAGGTGCCGATATATTGTACAGCGGGGGTATCTGTTGAAAGCAATAGAACGTAGCCAATGATGGCAGAGCAGCAATAACCACCGAGGAAACTAGGGAGAATTAGTCTAGATCCTCGTAGCTAAATTACAGATTTGAGACTTACACTGCTCGCTTGTTCACTCGGTCACTGTAGAAGCCACCGAGAACTGTGAAGATACAGCCGAGAACGTAGGGTGGCTAGAAACTGGGTTAGACAATTCCTCATAAAATGCAGTTTTGATGCAAAAGAGGTACTTACAACTGTAAGCAACTGTGACATGGCATCAGAGTAACCCATGGCGCGGATAATGGATGGCAGAAAGAGCGAGAAGGAGTACAATGGGACAAGAATTCCAATGTATGCGACGGATTGGACCCAAATCTTCCAATCAGCAAACGCAGCCTTCATGAATTTCAAGTCGTAGTGGGACGCCAGATCGTCGTTGTCTTGGCTCAATCGAAGGGACACCTCCTTGGCCTCCTCGGCATTCAAGAAGGATGCTGTTGCAGGGCTGTCGGCCATCGCCCAGAAAGCGATAAGTGCAACGATAACGGTGAGGAGACCTTCGAGGATAAAGATCCAAGCCCATCCATCCTTTCCTCCTAGACCGTCCATCTCGTTGATTCCACGTGCGAGTAGACCTCCGAAGGCACCTGCGACAGTGGCGGCAGAGAAGAAGATAGCAGCACGGAATGCACACTCTCTACGGCAGTACCATAGAGTGATGTAATAGTTGACACCCTGTTACTGTGAGTTTTCCCCCTAATGAACTTGAAGTTATGGGTAACTTACGGGAAAGAGACCAGCCTCCGCAACACCCAGGAAAACTCGGGCAATGACAAGGCCGTGGAAATTAGTAACCAGACCGGTCAGAGTCATTGTTATTCCCCATGCCAACATCATGATTGGAAACCACATGGACTGAAGGCTTATTAGTTAACGTCTCTCGCCAGCTTTTGGAAGATATCATACCGCTCTCCATCGCTTCAGAATCCTGAAAATGTCAGCAAGGTGTTCGGACACTGAAGAAGAGTAATTCACATGTTGGAAGGAACTTCAAACAGGACATATGTCACAACTTGGAGGACACATCAGGACTTGAAAATATCATTAATCAGGTAATGAAACTTACAAAAAACAGCTGCAAGGTCACATTATTAGCAAGTGACAATCAAAAGTGTCTTGAGATGGAAACTTACAGAGAGCAGTGTTGTACTGCATTCCCTCAAGGCCAATCGCCGACTCTAGACCAAAGAGTTTCGCATTTCCAATGTTCGTACGACTGTGCAACATATTAGACGAGGTACTTTCATATCCTCTATGCAACTTAAGGCAACTTACTCGAGGAAAGAGAGGAGGTATAGCAAAGATAAGAACGGAATCAGATGCCAATCGATTTTTCTCAACAGCCTCTTCGTTTGTAATGTGTCGTAAGTGGGAATATCTTCAACGAACGCAACATCTGCTTTTTCATCGACATCAAGGCTCTTGACCTGCTTCAACTGCAGGTCCGAAGCAGGATTGTTTGTAGTCTCGGTAGCCATTTTTGGAAGTGAGAATATGGAACTCGTGATAGAAAAGATGGTAAGGGATCGACAAGCAGGAAAAGTCAGAAGGATATCCTCCCTGTCTTATAGAATGTCACGATAACGACAATGCGGGGGGTGGAGGGGCGCCCTCACATGTGTTGCAGGGCTAAGACCCCACCATGCCCAGGCGCCCATCTTGGCATCTGGGGGTGGTGCAGCAGCTGAATCGTATTTTGTCCTGTGGCTTCCTGGTTTCTTGTCGCAATTTCTCTCAGCGAAAGAAATCGTGGAATGATTTCTTATCAAACGTTTCGACAAGGCGCTTATTGAGAACAACACGGACTTTCTCCATTTTTCCCGCAGTTGTGTTATCCTCGCCCAGGTCTTAGTGGCCTTGGGGATGCAGCCAACTCTTGGCTGGACGGAGAACCAACCGAAACCAAGATTTGCTGCGCGCATGCTGCTGCTAGCCGGTCATTGATATGAACGGTACATGGGTACCGTGTTTCCTAAATCCGATGGTAGTGTAAACAATTCTGATATTCATTGTTTTGACTTTTCAGAGTCCTTTACCCAGGTCTTCTTTGTTGACAGTCAACTGTTCCTGACTAACCGAAGTCTGGTAGTCGGCCTAGATGCCAAGGGCTTGACAGGAAAGAGGAAGTCGAAATGTTTTTCTAGAAGGTTTTGCCAAGTGAGCCGGCAAAAACTATCGGCAAGTTCCCGGTTCATTTTCGGAAAGTGTTGGAGCCAGTTGCTTTAGAGAGCTGAGGGGGACCAATTGGCCGTCAGAGGCCGTGATGTCGCCTCCTCTGCCTCATGGGACTGATTCCAAGTTTTCGCTCTGACGGATGTGGAGGCGGATCGGGGCATTTTGGTGCTAATTGAACTAGGATCATTGGTTCGGTGTTCTCCCCGTCGTCTTGGAAGTATGTTCTGAACCTCCCTGTGGGCCGACGAGATACATCTCTCAGCAGAGCAGGGTCCAATGAGGAAACAGTAAAGTTGAGACTTTGTTGAGGGGCCCCGTAAGAAAAACGCACGATCCAAGCAGAGGGGTCACCTGCAATGTTCTCCGGATGCTCCGGAGAGTATGTAGTTTTGTAATCAAGATGATTGCAACTGCCAAAATCAACACCAATGTTAGGCTACGATTATACGGGGAACTAACAGGGCCAAAGCCTCCACCAATTCCAAGAATTCTGTCTTTGGAAGTCTGGGGTCCCCACTTGACTTCTAGGCAGGACGTCGTAAGGCATTGCTCCAATAAAGGTGCGATGTGCCATTCCTAATTTTCTGGGTCGTGGAGACTCGACATATTTTATAGGCCCCAGAAGAGAGAGGCAGCTTTCTTCTTCCCTTTTCTTTCAAAATTTTGATCCTCGTTTTTTCAACCATTCTATAAGCATCTTTGCAGGGTTCTACTCACTATTGGGGTTTAAAATCACTAAGCACTCCCTCGCCGACAGCAGGCGTCTGAGTATTAAATTGAACAGCTATATCAAGGCGTATCTCATTATCACCTTTCCTGATCGAGGCCAATAGAGATTTTCTCTATCAAAGACCGTCTCACTTACGATTCCTCAAGATTCAATCCAATAATCTGTTCTGCAGCCACCCTTTTCAAATTCGCTACAATATCGGAACGGCTACTTGCTTACTTCCAATTCTCGCTCATTTACTACTAAATGTCGAACTTTCTCTTTATCTCAGGAGAATTATTTTGAGTTAGACTCCTTTACTTGTGCTCAGTTCTTCTTCCTTTGGCGTTGTAAGCATCCCAGGAATTGCACTGGAATTATGAATATTCATCTACAACATCGGTGAAACAGCCTCGAGGTCACCAGGTTCAACGACTTTTGAACACACCGACCCACAGTTCTCTAAGGTATCATTAAGAAACTTACTCATGCGGTTACCATTCACTGGTGCTGACAAAAGTATGATGTTGTCACAGCCTCATCTTAGCCGCGGGGTCACGTGAAGCCATCGATCTTTGCCACTCATTCAGGCTTGGTGACACTTGCTGAGATCCATGGTAGCAAGGCAGATTTGCTCTTTAAACAATGTTTGTGTTGTCGGCGGAAGCAATTTTTGAGAACTCAGTGATGAATTCTACTTCCTGACACTGATGTCAACACAGAACTTTTGGAAGAAAGGACTCACGACGTATCTACATCATTAAAGCCTCAGCCCGAAAGACCTACTACATTCAGTAATTCGTAATAGTCGCGAAATCGTGGCGATCCGACCGACTTGTAAGACAGAACAAACGTCGCGGGTGTCATGAACTGTGTTTCCCTAAGATGCCAACGAGCACCAGACATTGCAATAATAACAAATTGAGTAGATAAGACATTCAATTACACTTGTTATTATAAAGCTACTTCTTAGTTAGACGGTCGTACAAAACATCGCCGTTCTGCTTCTCTCATGTTTGTTTATTATGCTTTTAAGAGAGACCTCCTTTTTACGCGAAAGCTAGCGAGAGAATAGAACCACGGTGATGGAAGGGTTCAAACCTCAGCCGCTGATACAACGGCAGTAAAAGCCATGCGCAGCTCAGATGAACTCTAGTCAAAGTGTGTGGCCTTGTAAACAGTGCATTAAGGTATCTGATTTTGAAAAGAACACACTGGCGGATGAATCCCCGGAGCAACTGGGCGGAACGCGGCCAAATCCTTTTCCATTTCTTGTGCCTGGTGTTCCGCGCAAAAATCTAACATTTAACCACGCTCAAACGGCGAATCGAGTTCCAATCAACCTATCGACACAGCAGATTACGGAGTTTGTCAAGACGACCGACTTTTCTCAGTGACCCACTTGCTGGAAAGGAATTTTCTTTCTCGCCCCACAGAGTTGCACGAAACCCTAACGAACACCCGCCAAACGGCATCCATGAACAGCTCTTTGAAAACTAGGGAATGAATGTATAGGGATAGTTAATACATTTTCGAACAGAAGAGCATTGGGTATTTACAATCATATAAGGAAATCAGCTGCATCAACACAGGTCGGATGGTGTAGTTGGTTATCACGTGTCCTTAACAAATTCAATTTCGTTTATTTGTTGAATCCGGACAAGGTCCTGAGTTCAATCCTCAGTCTGATCATAATTTACTTTTTGCAGTTTTGCTTTTTTGATAGTTGAAGTTTAATCCCAATAATCCTTTGGAACCAAGTCGGTTGGCTTTTCTTTTGATACTTTACTCTTTGCCGGCACTCATGTAGGCCACAAATCTATGGACCTGGAGTTGCAACTGAGGAAGGCCCTCCCACCCCCCCTTGTAGATTCTAGACACAAGTTGACAGGGGATAGTCCTTCACTTTTATTTTTATTTTGGCACTAGGTTTAGCTTATCTACGTAATTACGCCCTTGTTCGGCCATCCAATCACGGATACAAATAAATGGTCGGGTGGTGTAGTTGGTTATCACATCTCGTTAACAGTTTACTGTGACATATTCCGAGAAGGTCCTGGGATCGAGCCCCAGCCTGATCATTATTCATTACATTTTTGCAGTTTTTGTCCTCATGTGTCTGTTTGAGTACTCTATCCACTCAGTTCTGGTTTTCCAAGTACACATACTGGAAGGGAAGGAAGGGCGTGCGATTTCTTTTTCGTTTGCGAGTTTTGATTATCTGAGACAGTACAGATTAAGACTGATAGGGACAACATATCTTTCAAGCAGTAAGTGGGCTTCAGGCTGCTTGCAACTTTGGATTTTCTCTCTTTTTTCCATCCCGAACAGTTTCTGCAAGCAGATTCTTCTCTAGGATAAACCCGAAGAGCCCCCATCTCCATGCCGCACCATGTGGGTCACATAGTCAGTCTCGAGCACACTTCGTATTCAAAGGATTTCTACAATTGCACTTGGACATGGTTTGAGCATGAGTCAGATAGCTCTAGACACGAACTTCCTGGTTCTAAAACACAACCCATTGATTTTAAGGTATCTTCTACATTTTTCTCATTCATGCATTAGCATGACTCTGACACCAATTAACCCAATCCACAAAGAAAGCAGCCTGCATCTTAACCTCACCCTCCAACCACGTAACCTGAGAATCTCTATACACCGTTGCGATCTTCTTGACGCTTCCCTTATCAGCTCTATACAAACTCGACGCAACCAGCAAACTCGCGCTACTCGCCGCTCTGGCGAATAGATGTGAAGGATCTTTTGAAGCTTCGAGGTGGATGGCTTTGATCAATTTGATCTGCTCCGAGCTATTGATTTCGCTGACTCCGTCCTTTTTGGCGCTTTTCGAGGCTTTGGCGAAGGCGAGGATGATGTTATGCGCCTTTTCGGCGAGTTGCTTTGCCTTGGTCGTGCGGATCAACTGCAATAGAGGAAGAAGCAGGCCAAACGCGAGAGGGTTCGAAGCTTGTTTCTTGGCATAGATCTCCAATAAGTCGAGAACACGGCCTTTGAAATTGACCATTGTTTCCTTGGCGTCCTTTTGCTCTTGCTTCTTGTTGGGGGCTTTCTTGCGCGCTGAGAAGATCTCGACGAGTTTGGCGTCTAGCTGCATCATTTCCGAGTCGGTCATGTTGGCGTCGCTGTCCTCGTCGTCGCCGTCGCCGTCTTGGCCAGGGAGGTGGGTGCCAAGAGCTTGGGCGAGGGCTAGGTTGAGCTTTTTTGCATCTTCGTCCTCTTCGTCTCCTGATGCCTTATCTTCTGACTCTCCCGATTCGTCATTGTCGTCGTCTAGATGTCCATTCAAATGACCCTCATCACCATCCATGTCAACGACTTCGACATCTGAATCCTCTTCGTCATCATCTACGTCCATGTTTTCTCCATCTTCGGGTTCTTGGTCAAATAGTTCTTGTTGGCCTCTCAAACTCTCGCCAGATTCTAGGACATTAGTCATCAGCTGCAGTCCACCCGCAGTTATATCGCCCATAAAGGCACCAAATACATGCTGTGTGACTTTTCGGAGAAGTGCAGATGGTTTAGAGATGAACGAAAGTAGCAGCTCCACCAGAACTTCCGACGCATCGACATCAGAATCCTCGGTGTCCTTGTGGCGAATCAACTTATCATAACAAAGCTTGAGCTCATCGAGAATCGAGACAGCTTCCGGCTCGCCATTGTAAAGTTGGAAGACTACTAGTGAGTACAGCAATGCGAGGGCCTGCAGAGGTGCTTTGCTCTCGGGACTGGCTTTCTTAGCTCTCTTAAGAATCTTCTCCACCGTTGAAATTGCACTGTCTTTGGCATCGCTGATTCCCTCATCCATTTCCACGGCGTTAGGAGAGAAAGAGCGTAGCAAATCGCAGGGATATGTGTACCCTTGCAGATCGGATAGAAGATGACCGAATGATGACATGAGTCGAGTTCGAAAGATGGTGCGAGTTTTGTTAGATGGTGCAGGTTTGCATTTTGAATCTTCGCCATAGGCAAACTTGGCCAGAGTAGGTAAGGCGGTTTCCTTGATCCAGTCCACATTCCTCGATTCATCTGTGATATTGACTTTTCGAATAATGTTAAGAACGTAATCGCCAAGCATCTGTCTACGCATCTCAGCCTCCTTGATATCATCCCTAGAGGAGTCAGCCATGTACCCAGAACATACATAGTAGAGGAAACTTACCCGCTAACCGAAAGAGCCAACTCAACGAGGATGTTGATCACAGCCGTTGCGCTGCTGTCTCCAACCAAATTCAACAATCGCTCAATAGTTTTGGTCTTAGTAACTCTGTCGAAGTTGTAGGTTCCATGACCTCCAATCAAGCATAGGAGAATTGTTACCAAGAGCTTCGGGTTAGCTTCAACTGCACTGATCAACACCTTCAAGGACTTGTCTGCCGCTCGATGCAGAAAACGATCTTTCTCCTGGACATGGTTGATGAGACATCGTACCAGGTTGTGGCTAAACACGCTTGGTAGCAGTTTGCCATAGGAAGTAGCAGCTTCGATAACTTTCTGGAAAAGCAAGAATCCCCAGAATTTACGCTCTCTAGAAGCGGTCGCAGAGAAAAGGTTCTCTGTTGATAATTAGCACCATGAATAAAGTCATACTGGGAGATATATACCATCGACTGCAACTTTCCAGAAATTCTCAAAATCCGACTTGATGCCGTGAACTTTTGCTTTCACTCCTGCGATGTATTGCGCCAGGACGAGATTCCAGACGAAGTGGAGTTTCGCATTCCAATTTCCAGTTTGTTTCGCTTGTTGTGACTTGTCTGATCCTTCATCACTCGAGCTCTCCTTGAGTGCCTTCCCGAGGGCTTTCAGATGTTCCAACGGGTTTCCACTCGAACCCCAAGGCTTGCTAGGGAACTTCATGTCGGGAAAGCGATTCCTCGCCGTGATCCAAATACCAACTCCTTCTGGAGATAATGCCAACCCAGCCGTTTGTATTTGCTCTAAGGTATACTCGGCCTGACTTTGATCCATCTGCGAGAGCGCTCCTGTAATAACCCAACCACATTGTTCTCGAGTCCAAGGTTTCTTCTTGGCCAGTTCAAGAAATTTCTGCAGGATCGTATTCCACTTGTTATCCTCCCCAAACAATATTTTTGCCCCCACGAAGCTCTCCAGTCCAAACAACAGTCCGAGGAAATGATCCTTCTCTTCTTGCCCGCTCAAGTCGCCGTCAGGTTTCGTTTTCGCGATCAGGAAGCCAAGAACCTTTTCGAAGGTCAAGCCCGGGTATTTTGTCTCTGCCAAATTCTTCGTCCCGAACAATTGTCCTATAATTTCTGCCAGTACAACACTGAATCCCAGCCTCGCACATTTCCTGCCACTTGCGAGCCCTCGGAACAGTCGTCTCTCGAGATGTCGTTGTAAAGCCGACTCTTCAACACCCTCCCCTCCCAGAAGCCCAGCCAATACCGCATTGGCAGCATTGAGGCGATCCTCTATATCCTCACTGCTCAGGAGATCATAGAGCTGGACTTCTCGTTTCAAGTCCGAACCTTTGGGATTGTCGAGGAACGGGGAAGTATCGAGAGGGGTTGGTTCGACCGTGGGTGTAGCTGCGCGCTTTTCGACTTTTCCCTCTGTCTTCTGCTGTTTCTTGGGATTTTGTTCTGCAGAAGGGCCATCCTTCGCTGCGCGTTTTCGTTTTTGGCCCATGTTGAAGGCAGAAGATTTGTATTGCTACTGCTGTGGTCAACAGTGCTTGTGTCTCTTCTCTGAAGCTATCACTGGAATTTTGTTATTTTTATGCCGCCTTATACCGCTTTGCTGGCTGGATTAGGTTGGTGGGCGTTACTCAACTCCACTCCAGTCTCAGCTTAAGTTTGTTTCCTTTCCATCAACGCGCGCGGAAGTATATCCTCATAATAGTTCAGAGCATCAATTGTAGGAAATATAAACATACTACAATGCACCAATTTCAACTCAGTCTATTATAAAACACGTGATCTCGTGTTTGCGAGAACGCCTCGCTTCCTCACCCTTGCGTCTTGCAGCCAACTGCATCCTGTGAGGCGGAGCTGAGCTGGGCAGCCTGATGTCTCATTGCCTCCCATCCCTATTCTTCTATCCTCACAACAAACGCGGCTTCACTCTTCAGAAGCCTCATCTCCACCTGTTTTCTATGTTGGTCATTCGACCTATATGCCCTTGGCCCAAGCCGCCTAAATGGATCCTCTGTCAGCCATAGGCGCTGTTGCCTCGATCTGCCAGTTGGCCCACGCTGCCTTATCTCTCTCAAAAACGCTCTATTCCCTAGGCTCAGCTATCGGCTCTGCATCAGAAGATGTTCAGATTCTGGCTGAGGATCTCAAAACATTCTCTCAGTCATTGACGCTCCTCTCACGGTTACTGGAAGATAGCAAGTCTTGGTATTCCGACGACATCTATCTCTTGACGGCAAAGATTATTAAAGACTGTGCTGAGCTCTACGTCAAAATCGAAAAGATTCTCGCTAAACTCGGTGGCAATGGCAAGAGTAATTGGAAACTCCGGGTCAAGTTCGTCTACAAGGAGGGCGAGATCAGGAAACTACTCAAGAGATTGCGGGATATGAAAGGGACTCTGGCAACGATACTAATGAGTCTCCAGGTTGATCTCCAGTTATCTTTGCTGTGAGTAATGAGGCAAACAGGTGCCTAGCGACAAGGCGCACTGCCCTGGACTGTGCCAGGCTGACT